GATAGATGGATGGATGGATGGATAGATAGATAGATAGATAGATAGATAGATAGATAGATAGATAGATAGATAGATAGATGGATGGATGGATGGATGGAACTTTATTAATTCCTTCAGGAAATTTAGGATTCATAGTAGCTGGAGGAGCAGATGGAGTTGACAACTTGAAGTTGATGGAAACCTGTAGAAACTGATGCTCTTAGCTGAGTGGAGCTGTGAACAATCTGGGGAAAGTGAATTACCTTTCAGGGACTTAATTGAAAGCTGGTATAAATCAGGTTTTATTTCATCTTCGTACTTTTGTGTTTCATCATTCCCCAGAACATTCCCTAGTCTCATTCACAATCCCCTCACTCAAATAAAAAAATATATAATATGTACAAACCTGTATGTTTATCCTAGTCTGTACTGTTTATCCAGGCCTTAATATCTAATGTTGAACTTGTTGATTGTGCGGATGTTCAGTTTCGGTGGGGCCTGTGTGTAATAGGTGTACTTCAGCATTTCTCTGTGTTGCCACAAGAAGGCACTGCAGCAGTGTTAGTGGTTGAAAACCTCCAGCTGATGAAGCGTTCCCTCCACAGGATTCACACAATAGTAGAGAATTCCTCTGTATTTACAACAGTGGGTTTTCCTGATGATGTTACATGTTGTTGTCATAGCGACAGTATGTCTCATTCCTATTAGTTTAATAGTGTTTTTTTTTAATTGATGACAATTTCAAAATCCGAGATTAAAAATCACCATAAAATCCTGTAAAAAGACTTTCTACAAAGAAAAAAGAAAAGAAAATGGCTATAAACTTACAAATGAACTTGTCCTTTCTTTATCTGATCCAGACACTGACTTCTCTGCGTCACAGACAGTTGGTTACTTAGTTCTGACCTATGCTGCGTCACAGACAGTTGGTTACTTAGTACTTAGATCGTTGAGGTTCAAACTTCCTGCCATTAAATCACTTCTATTTTCAGGAGATCATTTGTAAAATGGGTTGGAAATGATGTGACGGATGAACGCCATTAATCTGTTAGTGACACATGCTAACTGCACGTGTGGACACACACACACACACACCCACCAATGACCTCATGTGGGTTTTACAGTGATTAAAATTACGGCAGGGAACAGGCAGTTTAGTAGAGAGATCCACCTCTGATTACTTGGAGCAAAATCAGAAATATATATTAGTGATAATTTATTAGTTTAAATGATTGAAATTTCACTTCCACATTTTTTTCTGGCATTTTACCTTGTTGCAGCTCTAATTGTCTGAAGAATGACCTTTTTTTGTCTCCCATGTTATGTAATTTGCATTAACTAATGGCCTTCAGGGATTTATGGATTGCATATAATGATTTGCAGATACAGTTGTCCTTTGTTGTATCGCAGTTCGGCCATCACTCCCTCAGTGCTTTGCAGGTTAATTGCTTGTGCTAAATGAACCGTAGGCATGAATGTGAATGTGAGTGGTGAACTGGTGAACTGTCCAGGGTTCACCTGTGTTTTAGAGAATTTACCCTCCTGTATCATCTGCATATATTTTCATGTCTGTAATGTATGTATCTGAACTCTGAGCTCAGCAGACTGTCACGCTGAAACAGAATGTAAAATCCATTATTACTGCACACGCACATACGACACACATGAGCTGTGCTGATGTTATCTGACATCAGGACGCCTCTGCACACACACGCACACAGGAAACTGTCCCAGTGGTACAAGTCAGCTGATACTGAGGGATTAATGATGCATTAGTGCTGCAATCAGTGTAATGCTGTGCAGTAATGTACACAGTACAGTGTATGTGGAGTGTTCAGGGAGTGAGCTGCATTTAAAGGTCAGAACCTGCAGAGTGTACCATCGAGGCCATAGGAAATGTATCCTTATTGAAAGTATTCCTGCCTTCAATGTTCATTATCTTGTATTAATATTACATTCTTACTTTTTTATTTTCAATTCTTATCAAAAAACACACAAAAACCAAACGGGGAAGAGACAAATCCACATTGTTTTAAAACTTTATTTAAAAAAATAAATAACACAAACCACCAAGAAAAAAATAGAACCCAAACCAACACGAAACTTTTACTTCATAAATCAAGACTTCGTCTGAAGAGAATTTACATATAATACATATTCTCTACTCTATATATTACACTTTCATTATGTTCAGCTCAGTCGTGTCAACATGTCAAAAACACCTTAAACATTTGTAAATGGGAAAATGTCCTTTGGGAAACAAACTTAAATTTTTTTATAGTTCAAAAAGTTTCATTACCTTGTGTAAAGATTCGACTGTACGTTACAATCAGAGTCAAGGTGTCAGCAGCTTCAGGAACCAAACTGTACGGGCCACCACGGAGGAAGAGTTCATCAGACACCACAGAGAATAAAATCTTTATTTATATACAACTTTCACCGATACGTTTTCTGAATAAATCTCTGAAAAACTGAAAGTTAGTGTTTCAGTTAGCAGTACGCTGCTCACAAAGTGGTAAGTGTTGCCTGGTCGTATTGGTAATCTGTACCACAGGAAATACAAACATATTCTATATGTGCACGGGACAGAGGGTTTTAACATTTCTTAATGCAGTTCAGTGTGTTGTTTCTGAGAGCATTGGATTTAAAAGGATCATTTTTTAGTTCACAAATCTCATCAGGGAGGTACACTTTTATATTGAAGCATAAGAACCACCTTTAGAAAAACAGTCTAAAACTGTCTGGATTCTGAGACTGGCATGGCTTAAACTTCAAATCTCTCCTAATTCAGGGGTTAAAGTGTCACAGTTACACCCTCTCACCCTCTGTTCATTGCAATGATGTTGTTTCCAGACAAGCCACATCCAGGCGTTCGTTGGCCGCGGAGCCGCGGGTTCTGCTCGGTTTGTGGTTGGTGTGAAAACCCGGAGGACTGTTGAGTACCGACGGGCTGGAGATGGAAGTGACTATGACGGACGGTGTCGATTCACACACCTCATTCGTCTTCAAGTGGGCCGACCGGGTGTTTAGCTGTGTGGAGACGAGGCAGGAATAAAGAGGGTTAGGACATTAACTTGAGACTTGACCATGTTAAAGTGGGAGCAAAAATGATCAGTCACGAAAGAGGAGGAGAAGGGTGGAGGAAGAGGAGAAGGAACTTTGATCATCTGTCTCCACAATTTGTGTCAGTGCTGCTCTGCCACTTAACCTGCCATGGTGTGACATACAATAGTTCTAGGTGATCAAAGCCATTGATTGGCCGGCCTGACTAATGACCTCTCCACAGACACCGACTATATCACTCACTGTCTACTCAAAGACAAACAGTCCTGCAGCACAGCCTCTACTGCTCACACTGGCTTGTATGAAACTATGGGACTTTTTGAGTGTGTGATAGTAAAGTAAATATTGAATTTTACTACACCAGATACTTTTAAATCCTCAAAAATGATTCCAACCTTAAGCTGCTTATGTCAAAATTATTGAAAACAATCAATGTCGGTTCTTAGCGCCGTTAGACACTTCATGAAAGAGTCATTTGCGCTGCCATTAATCAAACATAAAGCCGCAGCCAATTAGCTGAGTGCAGTGTTATGAACACAGAAAGGAGGGCACAGTGGTCTGTTAGACTCCGGAGAGTTCCTGGTAACAAAGACAAGGAAATCAGTTGGAGAAGAACTAGGTTTTCTCCATAATACGCCCCGACACCAGCAGCAGAACTAATTAAAGAGTTAGTAGATAATACAGATAAAGGGTTTCTCTGTGCGGTTCTCAATTACATGAATGTGAATTTAAAGATAAAATAGCTATGAATAGAATGGTACAATACCAGTTTATGTGGGTCACTAGGACTGTATAGTGTTTTTTTTAATCTTCTGTGTAACTGTATTTTCATGTCGTCATTTTGCTCTGAGTGGATATAAAGCTTTACTGCTGGTGATTCACTGGTAGTTCAGGATCCTCCACTGAACAGTAGCGGTAAAATTAAAAAAAGTAAAGTAATATATTCAAAATTAAAAATGAAGTTTTAATAATTATAATAATTAAATAATTAAACCAAAGATGCTCTTATATCATTACCAGTCTATATATATATACACTCTAGTTACAGATGTGGACTTATGTCGTTATATTTCTATGTATTTATAAACCAATCATTCTCTGTCTGTGCTGTCTTGACACGGTCCTGCAAATCACACTCAACACAGAGATGCATTCACTCCAACAGTGTTGTATGATTGGGTCTAAATTAAGCGCTGAAGTCTAACGACTTAGTTCTGATTGGTCTCGTTTTAAGCTTTTTAAACAGAATAGACAGAAATGACAGACAAAAATCCATCAAACATTTGATTGACTTTGACATAAAGTGGAGGTTTGGCTCATTTAGAGAGTAAATCATTTAAACATTCCCTGTTGAGCACTAGATTATTTGTTTTTCTCAGAACAAGACAGATCTGTTGTTATTATGACACTGATGCTGATGAAAGTCTACTTTAGTTTTTTGTTTTCATAAAATGTTTTCACATTTGTCTGAAAACACCGTGCTGTGAAAAAAATTCCAAACAGACGGATGCTGGACACTCACAGCAGCAGGCAGATGTCTGGTTGGCAGCAGACTGATGTCCAACATGGAGATGTCCTCTGGCTTTGTCAGAGTCTGAACAGTGTGTACAGAAAAGCAGCACAGTTACCATTGCCAGAATGTTCTTTTGTACTATTTTGGCCTGAAAATGACACAATAACAACAAGCCGCAGTGAGAACATAGGATCTAATGGTGAACCTGGCTCATGAAGGAGGATCTGACTGAGGAAGTATGTCAGGCTGTTAGTCCCATTGTTGATTATGTAAGAAGATCAATGCTGCTCTCATCATGGCTAAACACTGGTCTCAATCCTGAGAGTCCACTTACTGGGAACAGTATTAACAACTGCTCTGATCACAGGGCATCAAAATGCACCGGATCTTTTATCCCGATCTTTAATTTCAAGTAAAATCTATCGTCATTTTCATTCAAGTGTCATTTATTTTTTCTGCTCTGTTGTGCACAGATGGCGGCAGATGGTGGTCGACATTTCCTAGAAATTCAGTCGACTTATAAATGCAACTTACAAATGGGGCGCGTACATTAAAGCGTGGTTTATGACATGCAGCCTTTGGATTAAGTCAGATTGATGGATTAGAGTTTGGACTCTGTAATGGTGTCCTGAGAGAACCTGGCCTTCATGGAGGCAGTCCCCGTTGGTGTACAACTGCATGTTCTGCCTGTAGGAGATTCTCATTTGGGAACACTGTCATGATGTTTATTAGTTATGTACAAAAATTAAATCAATGCTGCACTCATGTCACTTAAATACTGATCTAAACGCAGAGAATTCAGCAGTGGCACACTGGGACACGTACATGTGGACTGTAAAAGAAAAAAGACAAATATGCCCCAAAGGACTCAATGCTTGAAAAATGTAAAACTTTTATAGAGCGCTTCTGACAACCCCCTAAAGCTTGACCAGATTTTAATGTCAACATCGATGCTTTACTTTCCTGTTTCCACTTCAGATTGGGCATTTGCTGTGAACCATGTGAAGTTTAGGCTGGGTAGATATTGGAAAATCCTAGGCTGTGGAAAATTGGTTGGCACAGTGTCTGGCAGAACCAGTACTCTTCCACTAGGTGGCAACAAATGGTGATAAAAGTAAAACAAAAATCAGTATTGCATTTAACCAAACTCACACAGTAGGTTAAATTGTGTGTTAAATGAAATTGAAAGATCGTTATATTTCATTACATTTATTAAAAGTTTGCTGCACGTTGGGGTTTTTCTAATGTAAAATATGTACCTGGCTTAGAGAGGTTGGACAACACTGCTCTAGACTTTGTTAAAGACTGCTATGGAATGCATTACACATTCACAATGGTGTCTGAAAGGAAGCACTTCATGTTGCTTTGCAATGATCATAATGTTTTGAGCACATTTAAAAAATTATTTTAGGATCTTAAGCATAAAGAGAAACATTTAGCAGTAGAGTCTTATTCTGAAATCTACAGGGACCCATTTTGAAGGACAGGGACGTACCTTGAGATTCACAAATTAAACAATTCAAGGCTGACTCTGAATGAAGTGACAGTTATGGACCAATGTGTGCGGGGTTTAAAAATTCAACTCCAGTCCTGGTGTTCATGAGGGATACCGTTTAAATAATCACTGACACTGTTGAAGTCTACCTCAGTGTGAACCTCAGACCTGTCTCCATGTGGAGGTGTGAAGACAACTCTGAGGAAGTTGGAAAAGATAGCCTTTCTTTGTGTGTCTTACACATAGTTAAACAGTCCCATATGGTCAGTTCCACTGACTGAATACATTATGCTCAATGATTGCATATTACCATACTCTGTAACATAATACGGAGATTGACCTTTATTTAACTCTCAGTCTACAGGTATTTATGTAGCTAATGATTTACTATGAGAATGGTAATTTAACAACTAGATTATTATGATTCAGATTAGTGAAAAGAGCTATTTTCTTGGCAATTCATATTCATTTTTTAAATTTTGTCCAACCGTTTCTAACAAAATTAATTTCTTAAAATGATACCTGGAATGTGTGTGAATTCAAACTGTCCACATTAAGGATGTAATTTGTAAATAATGTTTGCAGAAAGAAAAGCAATAGTGTGTTAAGTAGAGTAGGATAAGAAAGTGTAACGGCTCAGCATGGTTCTACGACATTTACAAGGCCCTTCAGTTACACGTCCTCATCAGATTACGTGCTAAATAGTTCTGTTATTAACCTCCTGCAGGCGCTGCAGAGATATCGCTCCAGCCGACATGACCTCATAGATTTTGCGTGCCGCGAAATGACATATGTAAATGTCTGGTCTTTGACCTAAACTCAGCACTGGGAGTACATGACCTCACTTCTCGTGTTTAGGGGGAGAGAATTGAATTTGGCGTTACATGAAATACTGCAGCAGGAGTAGTGGCTATATTAATCCAGTGTTTATTGGAGTTTCCTCGCTGTGCAAAATAAACGTAAACTCCTCCTACTGGCATATAAAGCACCGGTGACATCATATTTAATGGCCTAACAACAGATATAATCTCTCTGCTCTTAATGTGCACCGCTTGTTTGTAAAATTGGAACCAGCTCCTGGTGTGGAATTGTGTGTTACATACAGTTCCCACTTTGGTTTTCAGGGATGCATGATATGGATTTTCTCAGGGAATTATCTGGTTTTCATGACTGACACCACATGCTAACCAGTTATTATATATTTTCTAATTAAGAATGAAATGTTTATATGTATGGCTGGCTTAGGTTAACCTAAACTGTCACTTAGTTCAGCTGCTATAGGCCTAGACTAACTGGGGTAACTCCCATGGTGCCTGAGCATGCTCCCTTCCTCCTTTATACAGTATTTATGCATTTTATATATTTAGATATATTGTTGCCTTAGATATATTGTTGCCTAAATCTGTAGCTTCACACCTGTATGTTCTGAGTGAGGACTCACATATGGTTAGGGTCACTTATTCATTGGATCTCACTTCTGTCAAACCATGACCTCTCACCTTTATTCTCTGGCTCAGATGGCGCACCTGTTTGACATCAGCGGACCACTGACGAGTTATCGGCTTTCGTAACGAGTCGTCCTCTGTGTCTGAGATGCGAGCCTGAGACCACATGCACACACCCAACATCACACACACACACACACACACACACGCAGGACCAAAATCAGCAACTTGTACTTTAGGGCATTATTCAAAAGAGGTGTGAGACTGACACATACCATATTAGATATGAGGAAAACTCACTGATTCGCTCTCAGACTGCGAGGAGTGGCGGGTCCTGATGTGGTTTTTGTTCTCGCAGTGGCTGGTGAGGGTTGATCGGCGTGTTGAATAGAAGCTGCTGTTGAGGCGCTCTCTGGGAGGAATGCAAAGTAACACACCGATGTAGGGGATGTATCTGCTGAGGGCAGATCTGGAAGGGAAACAATTAAATCTATTATCTTAAATTAGTGGTTTGTCTCAGAGAGGGCCACGACTAGGCCAGTGTTTCTGGTTTATTGTTTGAACCTGTTTAATGTCTATTCACTTATCGCTTATATCATGAAAAAATGTATTTAATGTATTGACTTCATTTATTCAATGACGTGACTCTAGCAGTGCAAACAGATCAGTAACAGATTTTCAAAATATTTTGAACTATACTTTTTTTTGCATTTTTTTTAAATATTTAGTGCATTTAGTGAATAATACAAGCCATTACACCAAAGTCTTTGTTTAATTGTCAGTGAAATAAAATGTAAGCCATCTGATCTTGGCAGCCTCGTACATGTCTCTTGGCTTCATTGTTTTGTTTTTTGGGCACATGACACAAGGGAAATTAACGAGTCGTTAAGTTTTGCTGCAGTGAAAAAAAACACATTATCTGCTGCAGAATAAGCACATGAACGAAACGTCCCTGAAAGGCACACGGAAAGAAGACGTCTTTGTTTTTTTAACTGAATGTAATTCCTGAACATCTGCCCTCTATCTGGGAATGTGTTGAATATGTTAATTTTCTTTTTAATCAGTACATTTCCTAATTACCTGCAGCAACAGTGATGAAAGTGTGTGAGATAAGAACACAGTGTTTATCAACCTACCTGTATTTTGGATGTGTAATAGCATAAATGATGGGGTTGTGAATGGCAGATGCTTTCGCGATGACAGCAGGAACAGTGTTCATGTAAGGAGTCAGAATGTCTCCATAACTAAAAAAGAAGAGACACAATATGTGACCAGAGATAAGACACGGTTTTTTATCATTTTCACTGCACAGTTGTTTTCACAGATAAATACTGGAAACATCGTCTTGTCCTGTGGACATCCTGACAGTGTTCAACCCACAAATTCCTGCTTTTGTGTTTAGGTCAGTCATTTGGCCGAATTTCAGTGGCAGAGGTAAAGTTTTTGGCTTCAGTTGTTCTGAAGACCATATCTGGTCATACTTATCTGGACAGTTAACTGGGTTAACCACGAGTCTCTGTCAGTTCAGAGCTGTTAATACTGCTGGACATCTTTCAGCTTCCAAAAGAAGCAGGCACAGTTAATCATATCATCTGCTTGACTTTGTTTCTGTTTTAAGAATTCCCTCTCTTCCTTTCACTGCTTATTTGTGTTTGACTACAGATTAAAGTATTTTCAAGGAAAATAAAACATGTATTCCCTCTACCAGTGTACCTGGAAGGAGATGAGAAAAAAAAGATACCTTTCCAAATCAATTAAAACCAAAACATAATCAAACAGAACCAATAATAAAAAACCCTCCCAATAAAACACAAAATGAATATTTACATACATTAAGTACTGTCATCCATTATATCTGTTCTTGAAGTGTCCTCATTACTAGTCAATATGGTTAATTGGTTACAAAATCACCTACCCAGCAAAAGCAGTGAGGGCCACGCAGGAATAAGGAGCCCAGGAGATGACGAAGAAGAAGATTACAATAAGAGCGATCTTTGCCATTTTCCATTCACTCTTCATCTTGTGAATCTTTTTCGCCGAGTCTCTGGTTCCCCCGCTGTTGATTTTTGTTATGGCTCTGTCAAAAACAGATGTCCTTGAGGTTAGAGTCAAACTTTTCCTTTTTAACCTACAATGTCAAAAAAAGGACTTGGTGCTGACTGTCACTTCATTCAGACACGTACTGTAAGGGAGAGCGCTCGTGTACTGACCGTGTAGTGTCACGGATGGCTCTGAAAATACTGCAGTAGCAGAGGATGATGATGAAGAGGGGGATGAAGAAGACAAAGGTGAACAGCAGCATGGTGTAGGAGCGTGCCGAGGGGGTAAAAGACATGTAGTTCCAGGTACAGGACGTCATTAGACCCTCTGGTACGTAGGCACCTGTGGGGCAGAGTGTGTGATCACAGTTCTGAACTAAGCTGCTGTGTCCAAAAATTTTAGTTTCATTTTTTTTTAAGTTAACCTCAAGAACAAAATATTTAAGTATTAAAAAAAACCCTAGTAGAGTTGTTTGTTGGCCACAAGTGGCCCCTGGACCGTGAGTTTGAGACTGTGGTTCTTTCTGCTGTTGAGATGATCACACACGTACACACTACTGTTCTCTTATTTAAAGTACACTGCAGCGTACGTTCTCCTTTTGACACACGGAGACTCCCTGCTGCATCTTCACCTAGACATATGACACATCTAAGAACACCCATGGACATAAACATTAATATTCTTTTCTTTTTTTAAGTGGTCTTTCTTCCTAACAAGGAAGCCATAAGTCACTTTAAGTACGTGTTGTGTAAAAATGTTGCGGGGCGGTGGGGCTACAAAACCCTCAGAGAATTATTAGTGGAAAAAGCAGGCTCTCACTTGGAGCAGATGCTGAACTTTAGTCCATTAGTCCAGAGATTGTCATACTATCAGTAACCACACAGCATTCATCATGGACATCGTGGAAAATATCATTTTATAGAAATGGTACAAGTGGTAAAATATTTGATTTGTGCTGACTGATGACTTCAGGTCCTATTAATTATAAATTTATGTGAGTGGTTTATCACAGCAGGACAGTCTGAGGTGGAGCTGCATTCACAGCCTCTGACAACATTGTCAAGATTTCATTTACTGTATTTTACGCAATGTAAGTCGTGCATAAAGAAGAAGAAAAAAACATATATAAGTCGCTTCGGAGTATAAGTTGAACCAACCAGCTAGAGTGCCCTCTAGCTGTCAGTGTGAGAATAATAAACATGTGAAATTATATATATTAATATATAAGTCGCACCTGAGCATGAGCTGTAAACCCAGCCAAAGGATGAAAAAAATGCGACAATCTGGGAAATACGGTAGTTACTTCTATAGAATGTTTTCAGATGCTTACAAAAATAAAGACAGGCAGTACTAAGTTAGATCTCGACAAAGAAATCTCAACATGAATTCTGTTCCACGGTCTGTGACAGATATTTACTCACTCCAGCCAAAGAGAGGTGGAAGGCTCCAGCCCAAGGAGTAGAGCCAGACCACAGCTGAAATGCTCAGGGCTTTCCGGCGGGACATGGCACCCAGGGAGGCCAGGGGCCTGGTGATCACCATGTACCGGTCCACTGCTATCACCATCAAGGTCATCATGCTGCAGATACCAAACAGCGCTCCGCAGAAGGCATATATCTCACAGGCTGCAGGAGGAAAGGCGATGGAGGGAGATGTAAGTACATTTGCAGATGTTCTTATGGCTGTAACTGTCAGAATAATCCTTTTCTCTGTTGATCATCTTTAGCTGTTTGGAATGAACATTCCACATTTGTGAATCGCCTCATGGGGCAGATATGTTTTTCTTAACAAAAATTATTTAACATACCCACAAAAAAAATAGGTCTTCTTATCTGCACTGTGTACTATGATTGTTTGCTACCTGAACACAACACAATCACTGTGGCTGCATCAGCTTTATCTGTTCAGCAAACAATTTAAAGGCTGTAAATATTCTGTTGACGTTAACTCCATGTCACTGTTGCCATTTAATGGTCCCTGATACCAGGAGTTCACAGAAGTCACCTGCTAAAAGGCCCAGTGGATGGTCTCCAGTGTCCGTCCAAGAGGTTGTCCTCTCATATGAACGCTCACTTTTTGTGTGCTCACCAGTTTATAGCCTCTGCAAATGGGTTTTCTCTGTATAGCTGACATGTCCTCACCTGAGGGTTTTCCTGACGCAGTCTTAAAGGACAACACTTGAGGACTGGGCTTATTGAAATGTTTTTGAGTTGGCAATAATTATTTGCCCCTCGATAGTCTTGTAACCTGCTCTTGCCCGAGGGGATTGGCTTTTGACACATGTGACTTTTGGTACGAATGAAGCCAAACCCCAGAGGGTTCAGTACCATCATCAGTCCTCAGTATTCATAATGTTGAACTATATGGGTCATAGTCTGTTTAAATGTTATTGGTACTGTTACTGTGGTACTGTTAGTGGTGCTGCCAGTGATAATAAGGAACAATTTGAGGCAAATGTCACAGTAATTAGGAGCAGAGCTGGTGTGGAAATACTTGTAAATGAAGTATAAATTTATGCAGAGGAAGCTCAGTCCAGCCTGGTTCGGTTGTCTATAATGAACTGTAATAACTCAGACGATGGACGGAGGAGGACAATGTTGTGTGGATGGACAGACGGAAGAAGAGGAGAGCACACTGTTTATGTTGAATTGTTTAATTTTTTCAAATCCAATTACTGTATGTAGGGGACCATCCTTAGAGTCAGTGAATCCATTATGTTTAAAATAACTGATAAGTGTGAGCGACACCAACACCGACCAAACACAATCACCCAGTCTTCACTCAACCCTGGAGTGGATCATTAGCATTGGACTGCAGACACAGTGCCAAGTCATCGCAGTCGTAAGTGGGTCACCAGTGTGAAGAAAGTACAGTAGAACAGTGTGTTTGTTTGTGTGTGTTGTGTGTTGTGCAGTTTGCACAGAGAATAATGAAGTCCCACTGGTCTGCGAATGGCAGCAGTTGTTCACAGGAGGAGAAGAATATTTCAGTCCTGGAACATTTTGCCAAAACTCTAGGTGTATGAACACTGGACAGGAACAGATGACACTGTAGCTAACCTTCAATCAGTTTGTGACACCATTACTGTTGTGACTGGAACACTGTTCAGTCTAAATGTGGTGCAGCCAGGTTGACAGTCCACTCCCGTTGTACAAGATTTAGATGAAAAGCTGACTGTAGAATTCTGGTAAATCACCCAGGGTGTGACTTTGATTTGTTGCTGCGGAACGTACAGCCAATAAACAGTTGACGTTTTAAGAAGGATGTACGCAGTAGAGCCTCCATCACTGTCTCCTCAGGTAGAACAGATGATATTATCTCAAGTGGCTTAAGGCGCTTTATTTGAAAATAAAATAAAAAAATATATAGCACAGTATCTGAACAAAGGAGCTGGCCTTTGTTATCTGTCATTTCTAATGAAGACTTTGTTTTATTAGAGTCCAGCTCGATCCGATAGGTCATTTAACAACGTCACCCCACGTCATTAAAGTTCTCTGTTATGTATAGTAAAGTATCTCTTCACAGTTTTTGTCAAAGACGAATCACTTCAGTGGATTCTCCATCATAAGAATGTGAGGCAGCTGGAGTGGAGCTCTGGTACATGTGCCTAAGTTTACAACTGCCTGTGGTTAGGTTCTACAGTGGTGACAGTCTGAGCTCAGTTCAAACTGTAAGACTGTTAATATTGTCTGAACATTGTTGTGTTTATTAATGCCCACGATATCTCTTCAGGGGCAATAAGTGTTCCCCCCACAGCTGATTGTTCTCTGAGAAACAATAAAGGTCTCGTGCCAACTTTTGGTCCAGTCATCGTGTTAAAGTTACTCCTGATGTTTAAACAGTGATTTGGGAGTTGCTTGTGTTTAAGAACATGGACAAACAAAGTAGAGTTGGTGATTGGTCTGTGTCTGCAGTTTTACCTAATTTCGGTTGAACCTTATGTTTTCATAATTTGGCCTCAACCTGGTTTGGATTATAAGGCTGTGGAAAGCGGATATCCCCTCCAAGTGATCACAATGCTGAGCCGACAGATGAGGTGTTCCACGAGGTCAGAACACCTCCTGGGGGTGGAACACATGCTCTTTTTGTCAGTGTTTGATTAGTGCAGTGAAGAACATCATAGGCTCTGTTCTCCGTAGGTTCTACTCCCGTTCTGCCTCAGGTCAATAGAAGTCCAACAATGCAGGAGTGATAACAGTGGACGTGTGTGAGTATGGGTGTATGTGTGTGTGTGTGTGTGAAACAGGAAGCTGTGTTTGCAAAAATAGTAATGATGTTTTCATGGTGCCTCTGTTGAACTGCCTGTCAGAGTAATACAACCTACTACTTTTTAGGCCAAAATTATATGGTTGTTTTGTTCTTAACATGTAGATCAGAGGGAGAGAGCAGAGGTCATTAGCAATAAAAATAAAAATATATAGCTGTCATTCTATTTCAGATGGAATTTATACAAAAGAGAGGGAAGAGGTACAAATCTAAAATGTTTTGAATTCCCAGGGAAAGAAATGTGAGAGATGTGAATAAGGATCCTAGAATAACTGTTAAGAGAGTAGGGAAGGACTCTGCTGAATCTGGAATTGACAATTAGGATTGATTACAGAAAAGAAAGAAGAAAAATAGTGACTAATAACACGGATAGGATTGGACCATGAAGTTCCAGATGAAGTAAAACTAGACTTCAACTGAAGAGACACTTCCAAGATTAAGACAGTTCTGTTAAACACAAGCTTAAAGGAAAATGGATGCACTTGAGGGAAATCACATATGCTGCGTTTGTGGTCATTAGGACGTTCTCTGCATTTGAATAAGGAAATGAGCGGTCGATTATTCCAAGAACAGAGTACGAAGTGAAGCATAGAGGAATATAGGAGGGAATTTCATTCTGAAGACCCTGAGAATCATGTTAAGGTTGGAGGAACTATAAAGAAGAAGGACAATATAAATAGGATTTAAAAGAAAATCTCCAGCTGTGTCCCTAATGCTTGGACCATAAGCATTACCATATCTCACAACTGGCAAAAGTCAAGAAAAGAGAAGAGAATGTGAGGGAATGTCTTTCACAAGACTATGCCTTAAATCCCATAGGTTCTCTGTAGATGAGGTGGAGACCAGGGTTCAGGACTGGATTGGCCAAAGAAGAATGGACTGGAATACTAAAACTCTAGCCGTCTTTTGTTAATAAAGAAAACAACAGTCTATCAGGATCATTGTTATGCATTTGTATGAAGTATTATATTGTAAGCTTTCCAAATGTAGCTGTGATGACCACAAAGGCTGCATTGGGTGTTCCCTGCTCTCTACATAGGCAACAACAAAAGTACTTCAAAAACATTTTGTGTACTCACAAGTGTTATTATTCTATTCTGCGTTACCTTTTCCCCCAAAAATCCATCGCTTGTGCATGCTGTTGATGAAGAAAATGGGAGTTTGGGTGAAACACATGAGGAAGTCTGTGACTGCCAGGTTGATGATGAAAATGTTGGACGGCGTCCGCAGGCTCCGGCTCCTGTAGGAAAAGCAGGAGAATGTTCCATCAAGCTAAACTAGGCGCCTGTTGTTAAGAAATGCTGTAAACTACGTAACATGTATACTGTATATGAATAACTGTAAATTACATCATCAAAACTGACAGTACCTGCAGAAAGCATATATGACCAGAAAGTTTCCCAGAACCCCTGTGATGCCCACAACCAGGATGACAACACAGATGATGTAGTGGGCGTGGTCTGGCACGTCAGCTGTGGGGAACGGGTGGCTCGGCACAAGGGAGGCCTGGGAACAGCAAGACCGAGACGGTTAACATTCAGGTCTGTGAATGATTAATCTCAACGAGAGCATGTTAAAAAGTAATTAGGAAGGAAAAGGAAAGAAGGAAATCAATCCGGAGAGTTTGTGTTGTTGATTATAAAGGAACTTAAAAAAATGAAAAAACCTGAAATGAAACTGACACCATGCCCCATTAAGGTAACAGTTACGTGCAGCTTAAAATGTAGTCTTCAGTACCAGAGAGAGAGAGTCCCGTTGATAGAAATGAACATGAACTGAGGGTGTGAATGATTTCTTTCTGAGCACACTGTTATCTAATGCACTCATTATGAGAATTTCTGCGAATAAAAAGAAAATCCACCTAGTGTTGAGACCACTGTGTCTGACCTTTATACACCACGCTGGGAAACTAAAACCCTTTCATTAGAATGACTGGATATGGAATCATTAAAGCAACACCTGAATATATTATTTTGTAAAGTAGTGGTGTGAGCACAGCATGTTATGCCTTGGTGGTGTGTGACTGTGTGAATGTATTTTCTGCGTGCGTGCTTGCACACACACGTGGCACAGCTCTATGAGACAATGTATCACTGTTTGCATCAATTTCTCATGTCAATAAAAAAACAAAGAAGTTCTTCAGGTCATGAAGTGGAGAGAAAGCCGGACTAAATACAGGCACAATAATAACACAGCAAATATTGATCTTAGCACTTACAGTATGATGAAATGCCAGGTCACTTATAAAGTTGAATAACTGTTTAACGATGATGTTTCTGTGGTTATGTGTGACCATGGCTTCTGTGATGTAAAAGGTAACAACCATAGATTTATATTTAAGAAAAAAATCCCATAAAGATTGAAGAAGTTCTGACACTTCCTGTGAGTGAATAATAGCTGAATGTAATCAAACACAGGTACTTCAATATACGCAAATGTGTGAAATGACCCGTAGTAGTAAACACAACACAACTCAACTAAAATAATTAAGTAAAATCGTCAAAATAAATCTTCTGTAACTTGAACTGAATTGAATGAGATCCTTTCCACAGCTGGTCTAAAACTGCCCCCCAACCACTGACCCACTGAAGGCATATTTTTGTCTGTGTTTGTCAGTGGAGGATTTCCTGCAGTCTCTCTTACTTAACTCTCACACATTGTGTGTCTGAAATCAAAAGTTGAAGTTTTATTTTAAACTTTTCTGACCATAATGTTTTGCCAGTAAAGTCACAGTCATGTGCAAACACGTTTCCAGTGGAAGGATACGTGGCCTCTTGAAAATAAGAAACAAAGCTCGACCTTTAACCTTTAACCTTTAGACCAAACCTCAAACAACCTCTGGAATTTGGGTCAAAAAGTGGGAAACCAACCAAAGTGTGTGACTCCAGTATTTTCTCCTAAGGCTGATCTATAAACAGTCCTTTTGGACAACTGTTAGTAGGGTTTGTTTTAGAGCATGAAATTAACTCTTTTTTTATTTGTACATTTTCCTTCATTGTATAGAAGACAGAATATTTACAAATAGAAAATTAGCTTGCTGAGAAGCAATACATTCTTAAATACATTTTACAATTTTGACCTGTTGACAGTTGTTGGAGGTGCACAGTTAAACAGAACTGCAGAGCTTGTGTTATTTTCTTTAACAGTCACGTGCTGCCTTGATATCGTTGTGCAACAACAAACTCTCAACAAATTCTCCAACCAAACATAAATATATTTATTTTTCTTTTAAACACATTTTAGAGCTAAAGAAAATAATCTTTTGTAACGCCACCTTGACTCAAGGTCTACGTCCTTATACCTGTGTTCATACACAGAATACTACATGTAATTGGGTGCATGTGTGTGTGTGTAGCTGCATTCCCCCATCTGTTTCTACAGTTCTACTCTCCTGCAGCGTCTCCTGTTAGTGAAAGCAGGTCACTGGAAGAGAGGAGCCAAAAGTAATGGAGTGATGGAGTGATTATGTACGCAAGACAGTGGAGAGGTCAGGAAGACGTGTTACTGACGAAGGGTCAGCGGTACTGAAGGTGGTTCACTCATTTCCTTCCTCATTCCTCTTTCCTCCTCCCAGCTTGACTGGCTCTGGTTTAGATCAATGGTGATTGTCAGTGAATGATGGAAGAGGGTGGCATTAAGCAACATGACACAGACGTCTCCATGGTTATGCAGATTTCAAAGATGGCAGTAGAGGCCTACATCTGAGCTGTGTTGGAGAGCCAGAATGGCTGTTCTTTGGAACATGTTCTTCAATCCTTCTACAATATTGGAAACAACAAAGTCCAGAGTGAAAGGAGGAAAGAAAGAGGAAAATGAATAGATGGTTAGAAAGTGGTGTGTGTGCTCCTGACCACGGCGAGGAGATCACTGGTTCACTCCCACATTTTTTTGTCTGATTTCCTCCCACAGTTGGAACACAACTGTGGAAAGGATCAAGTGATAACAGATAAATGAATGTATGCACTGAACGTCTGTGAATGCCATCAAACTGCTAAAATTTGGTTGATAATTCAGCCCAGAACTAACAGGGTTGTGAAAATGATTTATGATTCATCTCAGTTTTAATGTCATTGTCGTCATCAGTCTGTCTGATTAGATGTTATTGGCTTTTACTTCTGGTGCTGAAAATGCCAGTGTGCTCAGCAGGAGAGTCAATCAGCAAACCCATGCTCAGGACTTCCTTCTTGTCTTTCTTGCACTGGCCTAAACTAAAATATCAGAGCTCTTCTTACATGTGTCCCCATTTATTTGATGCCACCAATGTGGTCAACCTGTGCTGGACTGCTTTTGCTGCAGTCTAGTGAATGGTACAGCACCAACTGGCGCTCACACCAACAGCGTTGTTGAACAGAGTTGGTGACATCATCTTTGAATGCAGATTGCATTTGGACAGCATTCAGCGGACAAACAATAAATCAGAAGACAACCCAGAAAACATAAGCCACCAAAGGGCCATGACCAGCTCCTCTACTCCAGTCCACTCGCTGTTGATGAGGAAAGAAGACAATCAATAGTCACAAAAAGAAGATGAGGCTGAGACTCATGTGAAGAGGAATCGGAACGAGGATGATAGCTTTTGGCATTGCTCCATCTCAGGAGTTGCTGCAGCTGATGATCTGCACGTATGATGTCAAACAAACACTTCCATTGATGGAATTCCTGCTCCTAACTTTTCCATTCGCCAGGGTTGGAATAATGGTCATGAACACAGATGCCTTGAAGAAGAACTCCTCCTCAGCAGGGCTACAGCTGATCTCAATGTCATAAATTCTAAGCAAAACTTTACATACCAAAGCATCAGAGAAGGGCTCTAGGTCATGCAACATGTTACGTTATGGACAAAAAGACATTTCTGAGACAGTGTTTGAAAGTTCATTAGTTTAAGTATCAAAGTGTGTCAGTCAAAAGTTCACTCAGATTCTATCAGCTCCCACAGACACTGACAGGGACGTGATTGAACCCAGGGCCGTAGCTGAACCCTACTCCCACCGCGTCAAAAGTTCTGCTCCTAAAACGCAGACTGTGAGAGGGTAAAGACATTTTACAGCTCCATCATACCTGGTTCCTGGTGTTCTGGTAGTTAGCACATGCAGTTACTGTGAAGGTTCTGAGAGACGTTCCCACAGGGAGCACAGATTGTATCGCTCATAATAATAGGTCATGTACTGTGTAACATGACATTTATATTAACCTATTCATCTGGATTTTGAACTATGGTTGTCCTGATACTCGTAGTATGAGTATTTTCATTTTAGTATACTCTCTGATACTTTGAGTTTGGGAGGACCGATATAATAAAACAGACAATATGAGTACATCTGGTAGTATAATAGAGTATCTGATAACTGGAGAAACATGTATTCGAGTCCACGTATGAGTACGAGTATTTGAATAAGCTATCATCATTATCATCATCATCATCATGCAACCCTACTGTGAACCATTGTGGATCTGGTTGCTTTATTCGTAGCTGTTGTGTGGATGTGTGTCAACATAAGTAACTATGATGCAGAACTTTGGAAAACTTTCTACTGTTGCAACACTCCAACCATTATTATACCAGGTGATGTAATGCTTGGTAAGCCTATTAGCTCTAAACAGCTCCCCCCAAGGCCGGTTTACCTTCTTTGTTTTCTAAAGGTCAAGTCAACAGTTGGTGATATAACTATATCTCCAAAGCTTTATCCACCAATCATAATCGACAGTCAGAAAAAAAACCCAACCTCCACAAGCAAACAACCAATATCTGAGTTGTGTGTTTTGGGAGACAATTCTCTAATGGCAATGCAAACAAATTTCATAATGTCAAAAGTTCAAAACTTCATCTTTGGCCAGGGATTTTTAAAATGTGCAATCAGTCCAGTTATCCACATTTGTTTGTTGGATCAAATTTCAATGTAAAAGAAAACTATGACAAAACGATATAATCTCACATCATTCAGTTGAATTTTCACAGTGGAATATGTTTAAATACAGCTGTAAATACAAATACAGTTTTAACCTACAACTTCATCCCATTATTATGTTCTTGTGCTTTACTTTGGTCACCTTTATTCATGCTAAGGTGATGATGATGATCTTCTTCCTGATCCAGTACTTAGATGGTATTTATACCACGCCCATGTTTGAGATCATTTTCATCTCAAACACACACATCCTTAATTGTTCGTTTGACAAACAGGCAGGCTCAGACACCTAATGCTGAAGAAAAAAAACCCTCTGGCTCCTGCTCCTGCTACAACACACGCCACTATCTGCCCTTTATAATTTGCCACATAACACACGCAAAGATGTGGACTGGCTGAGTGGGCAGATAATTGATTGTATGCCTGTTAAGAGGATGTCTCATTAGTTTATCTAATGACACTGTAATTAAGTGAGAGCACACAGGCCACACACACAACCCCACATACACCCGCAGAAGAACAAGTGAGGATTCTAAGTGTCTGTGTGCGTTAGCCAATGCATGTGGGGATAGACTCCTCAACAGACTCCAGAGAGAAGCTCTAATCAGACGGCTCATCGTCTAGGGAGAGAGGGGGAGAAGAGGGGGGGGGGGGGGGGGGGGTTACTCTTGTGTGCTCTTGCCTCAGAGGACAAAGGTCACTGAATTGCATGTTCTTCCCCTGTGTGTGGTGGTCTTCTCAGAACAGTCTAGTCAAAAACATGCAGCACTGTATTGTGCTAATTGCTATTGTGTTGTATTGTGCTAAAAGCTGCTAAAAGCTGGGTGTGAGTGGTTGATGGTCTTTGACTGCAGGGATTGACCAGGGTTGGATTCAGTCCAAGAGGGACTGTACATATTGGAAAGTTAGCAATTGTGTGTGTGTGTGTGTGTGTGTGTGTACTGAAAGACACTGTGTAGCAGTCCACATGTCTGGTAGCAGCTTCCATCTGCTGTCCTCAGGCACTGCTACAGTACAGTATCAGTTCCCCCTCTCCCCTGCTCCCACCATGAAGTCCAGACCACAGAGACCCAGAGAGACTGAAGCCCTGCAGGTCCAAACCTCAAAGACAGCAGGCGTACTGAACCATGCGCACTTTTAGGAACTTTTGCACCCATGTGTTTCTCAGTATGTCATTTAACAACTGTCACTCTGTCAAATCACCCACCCCCATCCCCCGGACTCGCGGAGGCAAAGTTGAAGTGAAAGTGGATTTTCTTTTTGCTCCGAATTTCAAAACCTGATATTTGGACATGGATACGTTCTTGCGCAGCAGTCTAAATTGATTCCAAATTCGAAGACAGTGGAGAGAACAGACTGGTTCTTCATGTGAAAGGCTCTGCTTTGAACATTTTTTCAGGTAACGTTTGAAGATCATTTTTTGTAACTAGAAGAATTAAGAGATGACGACGCATCACTGAACAAAATTAAATAAGAAGGACAGGATTTTGTTTTTGGGTGCGCACTAAAGCGCACTTTGCTCAATAAAACAGAAGGGAGTTCACTTCATTGATCCTGCAGTGAATCATCCGTTCACACCAATCTTTCACGCCGGACCACACATTCGGTTAGAGGAAGATATAAACTGTTTCATATTCAGCCAGATGTGCTGACTTGGTAACTGGTGCAGACTGATGCCCAGGGCTGCGACGCGCACTGGCGCATCAGTGAGGCTGAGGAGGAGTGCAGAACAAGAGAACAATGTTACTCACAGCTGTGGCTGCCGGAGACAGCTCCATGAGCCGGTGTGAACTGATGGAGCTGATGTTCCACGGCGTCCGTGCGGTTGGTTCCGAGGTGGGAACCCCCGGTCCAATCATCAGCCGTGAGTCCATCCTCAGCCCCGGAGGAAAGCGCAGTGAGTGTGAGAGTGGTCTGTGTGTGAGTGAGAGTAAAGAGTTCAAGGGGTCTGTCCTTATCACCTCCCTGCTTTCTGACGGAACCATTATTATAGCTGATGTGGGGGGTGGGAAAAGCCCCATCGCCTCTCTCTCTCTCTCTCTCTCTCACCCTCTCTTCGTGTCCTATCCAATCCCAGCTCCGGGATGTCTGTGAATGTGTCAGTAGGTCTGTGCACGCATGTGTTTAGAAACGGTCACTGCTCTTGAAGTAAAATCAGTAAACCAGTGTTTGTTCAAATGTCACCTCGAGCGTCTTATTTCTCCGTGCATCACAGTTCTGTCGATTTCCCGTCCTCATCTGCCCACAGTTTGGAACAGGTTTTTGATTCTTTCTTCTTATGAAAATGAAAAAAGTGCAACATTTCAGCCTTTAGACAAAGCAAAGAAGAAGGTTCTGCAGCAGGATTTTTCCTGAGGAAACAGAACTGTTTTTTAATGATCCCTGGAGCTCTTGTATATAATGCTAGTACAATAACACCAACTAATGAAAAATGTTTCCAAGTGAGATAATGGGAGCAAGAACCATTATAAAAATGGTTGTGAGGAGACTGTTCACAGATAGGAAACGCAGGAAATAGAAATTGGAAAACATTTATTTCAATATTCAAGGAAGAAAACTTCTGAAGGTTGAGTTCCATCTGAACTCCTCAGACATTTGAATCAATGACTCAATGAAGTATAGACTTAAGGTCTCCTGCTGTCATTAGAGGCCAGTGCGTAAACTGCAAGGCTGAAGACTAATAACCTAGAGAAAAGTATTGACAAATACTTCAGGTCAGTTCATTGTAAATAGAAGAAAGACATTTTCCTTGAAGAATGGATGGAACTCCGGAGAAAGAAGTGTCCAGACTGACCTCTGCCAACTGAGTTATGTTCCTCCCTTTGTTTTCAGTTCCCATCCTGTGTCTTATTTCAGGTTGTCCCCTCTCTGCCTCCCTGTCTTTCCTGTCCGTGTCATCACCTGCTCCTCACTTCATGTCTTAAACCTGTGTCTTGTGAAGTTCTTTGACCTCTCCTTCTGTGTTTCCTTGGACTTGGACTTTAATCATCATCCTCGTCATCATGGTTCTGTTGTCTTCTCCACCACTGATGTTCTGCAGCTTAATCTTCTCATCTGGAGCTTTGTGAACCTTGAACAGTCCCGTCCAGTCTATCACTGGACCACATATGGAAACAGCCACTCACACTCACTGTCAGTTTGAATTTGTTTTCCTGTTCTTATTAACTTTGTTCTAGAGAGACATCTCGATCTGCTCTTCACAGTTCTGGGTCGTGTACTTGAGTGTCTATTTTTAGCCTAGTTTGATGGTAAAAAGTTTTGAAGGAAGACCTCAAGCAGCAGCAGAGGAACTGTGTCTTGATTGTCATTTGGAAAAATTGGATGGGTTGCCAAAGGACACTGGTTAGATACTTGCTTAAAACTACCCCCCAGTAAATTTGACTTTTGCATTTTTGATTTCCCAGAAGGCCTTTCTTTACACAGAGATAATTTTGTTAACAGTTACAGTTTTTTGTTGTTAACAGTTACAAAAAAAACAACAACAAAAAAAACAAAAACAAAACTCAGACAACTGGGGTCTTTCACCAGCGCACAATTAGGCTGTAGATTTGAAAATGTCATGCATGGTCACAATGGGGAAAATATTTCTCCTTGGAATTCTCAGAAATAATAATACAGGATTGATAGTGGGGTTTGGTAAGGCAACATTTAATCCGATAAAACAGATAAAAGGTGAGTGAGGATTCAAGCATGGTTAGAAATGTATGGTTGGAGGGCAGTTTGAGTCTGCTCATAATCACGTCCATTGTAGTACAAGTCATGGTGACTTTGCTCTGGTTTATTATACTGGCTATAAACAGAACATCCATTTCTACACCAGAAACAAAAACATTGCTGTGAAGGCTTCGGGAAAAGCTGAAGACCTTCATTATGAAGTGCAGTTCTGTTTTAAAAGGATCAGGTGAAAACACACTATAAGTCTATTAGAATCTATTCATTCACTTAAAGCTTCAAACTGTTATTTCTTTCTTTTAGACAAAAATGTGTTTTTTATTTCATTTTATATAAATGTCCGGACACCAAGGTGTCGGTCAAGAAAATTCCTGGCCCTCCAACAATGATAGTTGCTGACGCCTGCTGTAAAGCAAAGATAAAAAACACTCCCCCACCACATGACAAAAAGCTTTTTACACTTCATAAATCATGCCATCAAACTGAAACATTTTAGTGTTGAATTTATGAATGTGACAAATTGATGTGTGGTGTGACAGTGGAACAGTCCAGGAACACGCTGAGATCAGAGCAGGATAAGTGCTGGACGCAGAGTGCATCCTACAGATGAAGACTCAACTTTAAGTAAAACTCGTAGGAACGTAAGTTGACTTCCAACTGACAAATGTTCTTCTCCATCGCCACTTTTTCCACTCGGCTCCACTAGGTAGTACTATATCCCTTCAGATCCCTCTGCTGCAGTCCAAGTGTCTTCATCGAAACACTGACAGTAGTAGTAAACAAAACGCTGAAGCTACACAACCAAGACCTCAAAACCTTACGACCATTAAAATGCTACCAAAGGCTAAGAAACAGCAGGGTTTATTTATGCACTGTTTGTAGTAGAGGAAATAAAAACAGCCTCAAGATAAACTATAAAATGTTTTTAAGATTTTTTTTAAGCTATTAACCTAGTTGGATTGAGAAAAAAAAAGTAATTCATGCTAATTATGGGATTGTGGTCAGAGAACAGCTTGTGATCAAAGATGATCTCATTTGTTACTGCACTGCGTCCCCTGCCCCATGATTCTTAGGGCACTAGCTGCAGCTATAGAAGGAAAGAAAACACCAACAGGCGCCACTTACAGGAACATGCTGTAAATCTATCTCGCTGCGTGGCCTGTAGTGTGTAGGAAATGAACGAAGGTTTTCGTAAGCAAAGCCACAAAAGTAGAGCAGTAGCAGCTCCACAGATTTTGGACGGTCTCAATAACTAGTAATAGGTATTCACCAACAGCTGGATGACGATGAAATATAGATGAAAAATAAATTAAATTTCACAGTTTAGGCCTAATAAATCAAACGTGAACTAAGTGGCCTCTAACTGATATTATACTCCTATGCAGATGGTGATAAACAAACATATGTAACTGTTTAACATATGAGCTTTAATTGTTGTCCAAATATTGGTTTGCCAAAATTAGGTTAGGTCTCCTCAGTCTCTTGTCATGAATTAGGTCAACGGTTATCTACAAGGGAGGAGAAATGGACTTGACTTTTTATCACAGTTTTACTAAATGACACAATAAAGACCTCAAATCAACAGGTAGAATAATCATAAAATATACAAAGATAAAGATTTACTTTTATCACTTGTTTATTTTGATTGTTTTTAACTCTTTTTTAACTGTGGCTGATAGTCCTGTATAATTATTTCTTGAATTTCCATCTAATATTCTGTCAGTAATGATGAAACCCCACAGGACTGAAAAGAAAACAATGTGAAATGAAATTATAATTTAAAAAGTGATACACCATCATTAGAAAGAGCTAATTAACCATCAACCTTGACAGACCTGAGTGCCAGGATGAGTTGTGGATACATTTGCATTTGGCTCCATAGGTAACGTCCGAACAGTGGTACCAGCTTGAACTGCAGAGCGGAACAATTGTTCGAGATCATTAAATATATCATCAGATATATAAATATACATTAACTCTCATTTTTTCTATAGAGTTCTAAACATTCTAATTAAACTACTAAACTTCCCTCTTTCAGGCGTACACTTTTTTTTTTTACCATTTTCAACATACAAATGGCATTTGTGTAAACAAAGCAGCATATCTGTGATTTCTGAGACAGAATTTCACACTTTAATATGTGACAGACTGCTCATTGTAAACCAATTAGGATGATGAGAAATCAAAGTGCGACCAGCTGTTTATATCTACACATACGTTCTTACTCATACAACTGCTGTCTATTGAAATGCCCTTTTACTCTGCCAACATTTTGAAATATGAGGAATCTAATCCACATATAAGAGCAATGCCAGGCCTGAATAAGTCTCATCCTACTCCCAAATTTACTAAGTTGTGAAATAAGGGTTAGAACTTTTACAATTCTGAACAGATGGTCATAATAAGGTAGAAATGTCTCCCCCTCATAGGCAGTGGTGGATGTTATTGTTGTCTGTTTTGTTTTTGTACCCAAATAAAGAACAGATTCAGTTGCAACAGTGGAGAAATAACAACAAAAGAAAGATTCCTTCCAAGACAAATGTGAGCCACATGTTAAACCCACACCTAAAAGAATGTGAATGGTAGAGATAGATCAAAGATTTTAATTAATTTTGAACATGGCTGTGGTAGGTGTGTGTCTTCAGGAGCTAGAAGGGTAAGAAAATCACAAAGTAATAATCAGGGTGAATGCAATCATGTGCAGAAAGGCCAAGGATATATACTGTATGTACTGTAGGTATTTATAACTTTGTTCTCTCACAAAGAACAATTATTGTCTTACAGTTCCAGGCAGTTGAGGTGATGAGGAAAAAGAGGAGGAGAGTGACTCTAAAGACTATTATTAATGAATAAATACAGAAAAAAGGATTTTAAGAGAATGTTTTTTGATATAGGAACAGTAGTGTTACTGTGACTTTCTTTATTTAAATATAGCTGACAAGTGTTTACAATATGTCTTTTAGACTCCAATCCTAACAGAATAAAGTCAATACATTTTTTTTTTCTTTGAAAAATGACTGATCCTTTAACAAGCCAGAACAGCGTGGCGTTCTTGGTCCGCGGTGGAGGAAAGAAAAAGCAACACGAACAGAGAGGTGAAAAGAGGGAAGAATTTAGAGCAGGTTAGGGTGATAAAAGACGTAGGTGATAATGTGCTTTTAAATAAGCAGATTGTCAGATGCTGTGCATAAGATAAAGGGTTTACTTTGAGACCCTCTCTCCAGTCCCCAACAAACACAGACACAAACACAAATAGAAGAACATGACTTCCATCCTCTTCTCTTCCCTTCAACCCACCAATGAATCCACAGACACATCCTTCCTGTGTGGATGTTTTGTATTTGCTGAAGAGAACAACTTGTTTGTTCTGCAGAGAACGTGGTCCTTTGGTGCATGGGATCAAGTGTTTGACGCCAGAACCTACAAATTCTTGGTCTCGTGATGGGAAATTCAGGGTTCATATTAAGAGGATCAGGATCTGGGACCGGGCTTAACACAAGACCGGCATTATGCAAACAAAATGACCGACACAAAGGCTAAAACAACACAGCCTTGTGTCCAATGAATACACTTGTACTGCTTTCCCCCATCTGATGACTGATGCCAGCTCGTGTCAAATAAGGTTACTCGTAACTCTGAGATTCTGAAAGTTTTTAAAAACTTTTTCCTTCTTTTTCAAATTCAGGAAACTGGCAGCTGACATTCATGATAAAAACATGACATTTAGAAAAGCTAACACGGAAAGAAGGTCAGATCTGGCCTTGTAACAGAGATTTTCTTTGAAAGTACACAGGATTACGATGAATGGAGCTGGTTGTACAGAAGAACCTCAGGTCATATTATTATTATTATTATTATTATTATTATTATTATAATTATAATTATTATTATTATTATTATTATTATAAGATAGGAACTTTTAGAGCCCTGGAAAAGTTTCCACAACAGTTAAAAAACAACAGCTACTGAAAACCAAGTTGCTTCAGATTAAAAGGGAACACAATGGCTGCTTCCTTTTTTAGTTTGCAGGAAGTACAGAGGAAATTCCCAAACAGGTTTCTGACGTTTTTTGTTTCTAATTCCAACCTGAACCTTTGAATATTTTTCACAGCTAAAATGCTATAGCACCACTGGTTTGGAGGCCTTACAGAACTTACATTCATAGACAGTTAATATTGTTTTTTTTCGAGTAATAAATGTACATAAAAATCATCAGTTTGAAGGAGATTAGAAATGTACTGTAGGTTCTTCCACATCTAGACTAAACTCTTCTTATTAAAAGAATAGTAAATTCCTGTTGTTGTACAAATAAATCTAACGTTACATGTTGAGGAGGAATGATTCATGTCTGTAAATACACTAGACATTTATTGACTTCACAAAGACTCCAGAGGGCATTATTGCAGTGTGGCAAACACAGATCCTGCCTCATGGACTGTGTATGCATCATAATTAATTAGGACAGAAAAAAAAAAACCACGACAAATTAATGTATGTCTGTTTGAACGCTGACCTCATCTAGTCCATTATTATCCAAACATTACAAAACACTTTTCACTGACAGGTTACTTATCACAGTATTTATCCTGCTTCCTCTGAGTTTTGAGCTGCAGTATGGAAAGTAAAGTCACAATGGGACATGGTTGTTGGGCAACTATGGGCGCGGCCAAGAGATACAGAAAAAAAACAAAACAGATATGCCACATACCAGAAAACAGGTCTTTTCACGCCTGATTTCTGCTCAGAGCATTCGTTTTTATACTTAAGAGCTGATACTTGTGGCGTAAACTGATACTCTCTGAACAAACATAATGGCGACGGCACAGCCTTCCAAAGGTAATGTCGTATCTTTGAAATTACATTTCTCAGTGGTTTTCAATCCATGATCAACTTTTCGGTGTCCTGTCTGTTCCTACAGAGTTGAACTTGGTGATTGTCGGATCGAAGTCCTCACAAAAAAGTCTCATTTGTAACATTATCCTGGGAGGTCATGCATGCGATGCAGGGGATGAAACATTTGACAACGAGAAAAGAGAAGGGGAAGTGTGCGAGCGAAGGGTGATGTTGGTGAAAACCCCCGGTTGGCTGCGAGGTTACCACCTGTGCGACACACCGGAACTCATCAAGACAGAGATGATCCTCAGCCCTGATCTGTGTCCATGGGGACCACATGCTTTCATCCTGGTGATAAACGCAGAACAGCCTTTCACAGATGTAAACAGGAGGGCCACTAAGGAGCACCTGCAGCATTGTTTTGGTGAGAGGGTGTGGGACCACACTGTAGTGGTCTTCAGTTTCAGAGGTTCTCTCAGCCACAGGTCGGCTCAGAGTTACATCGCTGAAGAAGGGCCTCCACTGCAGTCGCTCCTGGAGACCTGTGGTAACAGACATCACTTTCTCTGTGAAGACAACCCTGACCGCAGCAGCACAGTTAAGGAGCTTCTTGAGGATGTGGCAACACTGGTGTCTCAACGTGGGTCTTATAAAGCAAACAGCAAACTTGTGAGAGATGTGGAGAAGAGGAGGAGAGAAGTGCTCATCAAAGCTGAGGAGCTACATCAGGAGGCAGATGGTGACAGGAAACAGCGGAGAATGCTGGTCACAGGTAAGAGAACAGTTTTGTATCCTCTGTTAGTGTCTGTGCAGTGTCCTGCTATGCATTCTGGTGCTCAGTGGAAATATTATCTTTCTTGCCTGTGGTGCTAATATGGTTTAATGTAAATTCAACCTTGCTATCGTAGCTGTCTAAAAAAAGAAGAACAACCTCAGCCTTTAAATCTCTTTTTATTAGCTATAAGAATTGACAGACTGTGTCTCAGTAGCTGTCCTTTAGTGCATTATGGGGCCCCCTGGGGCACAGACCAGGAAGTGCCCCGTGGGTGAACATATGTTTCAGCCGGCATCTACTCTTACATCACACAGCCGTTGTCCTGGATCTGTGGAAACAAAAAAAAGTATCATATTTTACGTTTAAAAGAGACACATTTATCTATTATCTTTTATCACTTTCTCCTAATGTCTATGCACCGATGTGATGTGATATTGCCAAAGTCCACACTAAACAATTCTCAACTCTATTCATATTTTAAAATGAACTAACAGCACTGTCCATCTAAACCGCAACATTCATAATGGCTGTCTCCTCGTGCAGAGCCAAAGCCGCCTCTGGAAATCATGCTGGTCGGATGGGTGTTTTCGGGAAAGAGGGC